TACTGTAACTAAACCCCCATTATTTTTGCTTAGGTGAGGTGTTTTTTGAATTAAAACTATTCCATTCTGTGAGATTTCAAATGACTGTTTAGTGAATGAATGAGTGCACTGGATTGTGTATGTTATAGCCCATTATATACATATTAAAAGATTAAAAAGGATTCATTATTTTTGATTCTTCACAAAGACAAGAGATCTCATAGGTTCTCCCGATAGAGGCTGAACATTTTTGTTACCTTATAATTTAGGCCTCAATTTAATATTTTTGGATAAAATTTATAAAATTAGTTAAGATTTTAAAAATATATATTTTTTTAAATTAAGATATTGTATATAAGATGTATTTTTAATATTTCAATATTTAGAAAAAATGTTTTTCACATTTTATTCAACAATACTAAATAATTTAAAAGGCTTACCTAAAAATATTAAATTGAGGCCTCACTAATGTATTATATAACATTTGTTTCTAATCGCTAATTTAATTTCTAGCAGATCATTTCCATCTGGATTACAATGGAACTTGTCACCTGTGAAAGGGAGATCCCAACTATGTTAACTTTAATGGTTTCTTCGCAACTTCAATGATCATGTTCCCCAACACAGATTGTAATATTCCCCCTGGCATTCATTCTGTTATTAATTTTTATTTGATCAACTTACTTTTCTAAAAAATCGGACCTCAGCAAATGCAAAGGGAGCCTTAACCACGCTGACTTGTTTTGATTCAATGATTGTTAGCGCAAAAACTTTCATCTGCTAAAAAAGGTAATGGTTTAATATAAATATATACGATAATATGTAGAAGAAGAAGAAAGAAACAATGGTTTTTAAAAGAACAGTGAGTTGTTTATCGAAAGGGAATAAAAATATATACCTGTTCACAGAGTGGTAATGATATTTGTTCCATACACTCCCATAAAAATTGCAGCGGATCATGGTTTGTAGTTTTCATTTTGATAAAATTCAAAGGAAAAAACTTTTTCGTGGACAAATAAAATTCCTGCATAAAAAGACTAGCCAAAAATAGTATATCCAAAAGTACATAATAAAATCACAAAATTGCTAATAAGTGTATTTTGCTTTAACCCTGAATAATAATAAAAGAACGTTTTGTATTCCCTTATATACGCTGCACAGATTTTGTTTCCATCTGACATTTGCATGCGGCGAGAATACAGATTAGTTTTCAGTTAAACAAAACCACGGTTTTACCGACTAATAAGAATAGTGACCATATATAAAACTAGGTGTTAAACAAAGGCCAAATGAAAAAACAAAATAACATGTAATAAGGCATGTGACGAAGTGCCCTTCACCACTTGTACCTGGAGAGGACTGCTTGCCCGCCTCTTGCCCTGTGACTATGGCCCCTGGGATGTATTGCCCTTTAAAGACATGATTTGGGCATAATGGATTTGTGTTGTGCTGCTGCTGGCCCTTTTAAGAACCATCTGGGGACATACTCTGGAGTTACTGGGTGGCCAC